GGTATGTTTCTGACAAGTGTGAGTTTTTCGTTGTGAACAGGATGCAAATGATAGAGCTGGAGAAAATTCATAGTGTTGCTAATCATAGTTATGAGAATGAAAGACCTGAGTGGAAAATTAAGAATTTATGCTGTTAATGATTAAGGGTGAGATTACATATTTCATTCTGTCAAAACAGCATCAGGGTAATAGTATGGGGTTGGCTAAAAATTAGGGTTGGGAAGAAGAAAAAGCTTGCATGATGCCAGTACCTCAGCCATGGCAGTGGTGTAAGCTTCTGAAAGAAGATAGAAACCAAAGCACCATATTTCCTTTTCCAGAAGGTCCAGTCTTGCATCTACGGACTTCAAGGGCTCTACCATTTTTATTTGGCATGCCAAGAAAAGTCAAATGTACCAAATCATATTGAAACAAACAAACAAACAAAAAACCCTGAGCAAACAAAAAAAATCAAGTGCTACAGCTGGAGCAAAAGCAAAAAATGTGCAGTCAGTTAATCTGTGATCAGTGGAATTACCCTGTTTGTGAAACCCTTTGTATCTTGTGGGCCCTGGAAAATCCAAAATACATGGGAAAGTGAAAAAATTAAAATGGAACACAACAGGGCATGCAAAGTATGTTGCTTCACACATGGGATTAATTGTGCAGACCCAGCAGTGGCTGTAGACATCTCTTGATGATCAGCATGTGCATTTTTATGACATTTATTTGTAGGAAGTATGAAAGTCTATTTTGCTACCATCTCTCCAGCCTGTCTGAAAAAATAAGGTGGCTCACCTACTAGTGTCTTCAATGCAGTATTAAGCAACTTCAAAAGGTCACTTTTTAAAATGCTGGTAATCAGCTGCTTAAAACCTGAAATATTTCCATAAAACATATTCATAATTGTTTCACCATTTGTCTTCATTTGTTTAAGCAAGCAGGGTTTGTAGCTTACAGGAAAGCATGGGGAGCAGTGAGATTTTAGCCGATTACTGTGTATTCAGATGAACTGTGTGTACTATACCCAGTGGTCCCTTGACCAGTGTTGAGGTGGGTTTTTTTACATGAAGTCCAGTCAGTCCTACACTGGCAGCTTTTCATTAGCTGCTTCTGCTCTCACAGTAATGATTGGGATGCAGAGCCTGATGGCAGTCTGTAACTTCTCCTGGTGCCCTGAAGCTCAACAACATAAGCTGATTGACTCAGTTAGGTCTCCAGTCTCTAACAGCAAATGCAATCAATAAATCTTTGTTGGTAAATAATTGCTATTGAACAGAGTTTTAATATAAATTTATGAGTGGTGTTTTATCACAGCTTGAGGCTACAGCAAGCCACTGAGTGATGGATTTCAGATAACACTTACATTCATTACATTAACTTTGTAAGTTATTTAAAGCTTGTACACTTAACATTGCTTTTGGCTTGCAATGACCTCCTGGGACTAAACATAGCATACACATTACTAATAAAGAGCTTGCGGTACGTACAGATGGTTCCTCCGTTTGCTTTGCACGGTGATGCAGTTCCTCGAGCCAAACCTGGGAAGTGAAGTTCGTGCACTCTGGTTGAAGTCTTTTTCCTGTGGCTCATTAAAAGTAAAGCTAGTGCAGTGTAGTAGGAGAAGCGTTCCTCCGTTAGACACAGAATTGCAATTTTGGAGGGAAGGTGGTAAAAAAAATTTAATTTGAAGTGTGAAATTCTTCTCAGTTTCTGAGCAAATTGGAGGTGTTAAATTCTTAGTGTTGAATCTGGAGGCTTTGGGTCAGCTACACCGAACTGCAGGGCTATAATTGCAGATGGAAGACCGTAACAATGAAAGATTTCATACAAATTAGGAGAAATAATGTTATGTGATTAATAATAATTTGAGGCAGACATTATTTCGACAAAAGAAAACAGGATTTTGAAGTAGAGGTTGATTTACTTAGTCCCTTACGGTATAGCTTGGAGACTAAATGTGATTTTTCTGATGTGCTGTGTGTACATGGGCGCCTGTTTGGCCGTGACTGGAGACGTGCCCAAGCTACCTCTAAATTGCCTCGGAGGTACCAAAGGTCAGTGGGAACCCATGTATCTCGTTTCCTAGGCAGAGTATCTGATGTGACTTAAATGTAGACATAATGTGACTGAAGTGAAGGGCTCTTTCTTTTTTTTTAAGTAACATTTCTTGTCATATCTGGGCCATTTATTTTTTTTTTAAGTTTAGTTAATGTTAAAGTGCATTTAGAACTGATCTAAACTCTGATACTAAGAGCATTTCTCCAGACCATTCTATATAATTACCACAGACAAAGTGGCGGTCTTTGGCCTTGAGGAAAAAACATGTGGTTTATATGGGCTTCTTTGCTTCATAACACTTTAAGTTAGCTCCTTGTATTCAGAGCAGCTTCCTCTGCAGGTACAGGAAGATATTTTTAATTCTCACATAATAAAAATATCTGTTCTTTTTGCCAAAGTAGTGCCTAAAGAAAATGGATTGGGAAATCTGGTTTGTTAGTTAAGCACAAAAGGTGGATGGTACGTATTTAGTGTTGAGTATTATTTTTTATATGAAAGTAAACAATTCCATTTTAAAAGCAAGGTGAAACCCCATTTTGAATAATTTTCTTCATTTAGATCCAAAAATAGAATGTCAAAATTCACACCTAGATAGTAGCAAAATCTCTATGCAGTAAAAATCATGAAAGTACTGGGGTTTTACTATTTATTGAGTTGATAATTGCCATGAATTGAAAATTACGTAAGTAAGGACGTGTTTTCTGTTATAGCAAAGGGACAGTTAAAAAGGTGTAATATATATATTTTACTTTCTTTAAAACTTAAACAAAAGGCAAGGGGGGGGATCACCATTGTGATCCTTACAGCTTTTTCCCCATTAAAAGGTCTGAAGAACAAACCAGTGCAGGGAAACAGTAATTTTTGATCCCCACAGTGATAACTAGAATTGGGTCCCCCTAAATGCGAGCAAACGTGCTGCAGGTGAGGTATGAAAGATTGGAAAGGTGAAGAGACAGATCACCTACTATAGACAAACATACAAGTCAAAGGCAGAAATAAGCTTTCATTTTGTAATAGAAAAAAAACAACGTCTCTAACCACTGGAAGACGGTAATTGGGATGTGCGACTCACACTCACTGAAGCTTTTGTAAGAAAGCATTTCAGAAACCCCATTCTGTCTTGTAAAAGTTTGAGTTGTAGCAAGGAACGGCACAAAAAACAGAAGTCTGACCTCTAGAGGGTCAGAAAGTTCGGAGTTTGTACCATTGTGTAATTCAGTCATCCAACACAAGATTTTCTTTACGGTCCCATCCGCAGATTGCTTTGAATCATGAAGGGGCTGTTCTCTGAAGTTTTATTCAAAGTGTGTGTCCAGGAACAGGCGGTTGTGAACTTGGCTTTTCCGCTGGGATCATCACTGCTTGCAAAAGGAGAGTTGTTAGTTCATGTGGATTGTGGCGAGGCACTTCAGCCAAAAGTTGTAACATCTGGAATGGAGGGAGAAAAAAATTTGCGTAGCTATGGAGGACTTCTGCTCACACAGAACTGCCCCTTGTCCCCTCATGGCTTTGGGGTTGGATCTGCAGAGAGATCACTTATAAAGCTACAGGTTTAATGGGAAAACAGGTAGCATTAACTTGCTTTCAAGGTTTTAACCCGCTTTAACAAAAACAACTGTATGGGAGTTGGAAGCACCATGTTTGATAGTGCATCTTTCTGTTATGTTCCCCCCCCC